ACATATATATAAATCTAATCTATCTTTAAAATGTTATCATTAGTATTTAATTCAACCATCAACCACCTGTTTTTCTGGCTGTATATACTTTTTTTTTAGACAGAATATTTCTCTGTTGCCCCAGCTACAGTACATTAACGCAGTGGCATCTTCATAGCTCACAGCAATCTCAAACTCCTAGATTCAAGTAACGTCTTGCCTGAACCTCCTGAGTAGCTGGGACTCAGCAGATGCACACTGCCATGCCTAGAAAAATTTCTGTATTTTTATAGAGACAAGGTCTTATTGTTGCTCAGACTGGTCTTGAACTCCTGACCTCAAGTGATCCTATGGCCTCAGCCTTCCAGAGTGTTAGGATTATGGGTATGAGTCACCATACCCAGCCTCTGGCCATATATACATTAAAAAAAAACTCAATTAGCATAGAATTACTTACCATTGCACATACGTAGTAAATAATTTTTCCCAGCAGAATAGAATGTATTCTGAAATCAAGACAGAAATTACTATTCTTTAGAAGTTATTCCCACACTCTTCAATAAGTCACAGGAAGTAGAATGTTAAAAAAAAATTAACATGCGCCGAGAATCTACTATGCCACTTTCACTTTAACAAATAAAATTTTCAATGAAATAAAATATTTTCAGATAGAAAGGAAAACATGACACTGTTTTAAACACATCAGAGTATAAATTTTCAAGTTAATTTTTACTACTCAATCAAATTTTGTACTTCGAGGATTTTGCTACATGTGGTTTCTAGGCAAGCACAATATATGAATAATTCTTTCATAGAGACAGACTTTTTGGCAATCAGCAATATTAGAAATATAAGAAAAAAATCTATCCTCAGAACTTTGAATCTATAGAAAGATAACATTAGCAGAAAAAGAAATTAAGTTACTTACCGATTTCCAAGTAGCAACATTTTTTTCCACAAAAGTGAATATTGTATCACACTGATCCAAAGGAAGACAATCCAAAACATCTCCCAACAATACAAAAGGCGTAGATGCGGTACAAATACCTTCAATGGGGCACAAGCCAATTTAAAAGGTTAAAAAGCTGCAGAGTAAAATAGCCTTTGAAAAATAATTCTGAAGATTATCTTAGTACACTTTGTCACTCATAACAAGGCTAGGACACACTTAAGTAATTTTTGATATTTTTGTAATGATGATAATGTAATAATTCTTGACAACATCTAGAGCATACTATATGTCAGGCACACTAAGTGCGTGATGTACAGGAACACGTTTAATCTTATAGCCCTATGAGGAAGATCACATAATTATTCTCATTTTATAGAACGGGAAAACTGAGACACAGGTTAAATAAGTTGGCCAAGATCACAGAGCCAGTAAGTGGCAGAGCTGGGATACGAACCCAGGCAGTCTGGCTCCACAGGCTGTTTTCTTCACCACTAAGCTATTCAAAAGAATATAATGCAGCCAATGGTTATCACGACTATAGTAACTTGGAAAAATGCTTATGATACAATGTTAAGTAAAAACGGCAGGATTCAAAACTGTATTATGGTTACAATGAAACAATTTTTAAAGATGACTTGAGAAACTAAACCATTATACCAAAATGAATGGCAGTTTTTAAAAGTAGAGGAATTATGGCTAGTATTTTCCCTTACCTCATTTCCAAATGTTTTATAATGTTGCTAAATTGTCTTTGCAATTTGTTATCAAAAAAAGATAACAAAAAGGCTTAACACTGATTTCAACTATGATTTAATATTTACAGTAACAGTATTGTTTCAGGGGAAAGAATGGTGAAGTAAAAAGTTACTGTTTATCTCTCAAGTCAAAGTTACTAGAGAGCAATAATAAATTAAAGATTTTTCTGGAGAAATAGTCATTTAGATCAGTGAGAAATGCTTTGATATCCCTACTCATTCTTCTATTTTAAGGTAATGGGTACTAACAAATACTCGACAGTGTTTAAGAAAAGTAACCACTTAAGCACGGTATGGGAGTGTGGGGAGTCTAGGGGTACTACAGAAAGTTGAGAAAAAAGTAATATATCCAGCTTTACTTTGCAATAGTAAGATCACATCTGGAATGTAATGTGAAGGACGCTGCCTAAGAATCAGTGGGTGGAATGAAGCAGCAGATTCCAACTCAACATAAAGGAAACCTTCTGATGATCAGAACTAACAGGGTACAAATTGTGAGCTCCTTTGATGGGCATAATCCAGCAGGGGCTAGATGATCACTCCTAAGGATGTTAGAGCAGAGAGGCAGGCCAGAAATGAGACTGGACTAGACGACCTCATAAGTATCTAATACCATTTAGATTTTGTGATTTTATATATCCTATATATCTGAAAGATTAGAGAGGCATGCTCTGCCTTTAGTTGCAATTTAGTCTGGCATTAAGTGAGTTCACAATCAATAATTATAGAAATTAAGAAAATTAACTAGATTTTACTACCAAAGATTCTGAGTCAACAGAACCAAAATTTTACTGCCAAAGATTCTAAGTAGAACCAAGGTCTAGGAATCTCATTCAAAAATAGATTCACTAATGGTTCTAATGAGCTGGCAGGTGCAGAAACCCCTGTACGATTCACCAGAATTTTCACAATCCATGTTCCCAGCTTCTGCACCAATTTCTCGGCTTACCTTATCTTTGGCCACAGATACCCCTCGTCAGTTCCCAGACACCATGCTTTGTTCATCCTTCCATGATGTTTTTTTCTGCCTAAATAGTCTTCCTCTTCTTTATCATATCTTTCAAAGCATAGAGTATAAATTTCAGCTCATCTAAAAAACTCCCTGGTATCTCTGAGTAGGCCACCTCATCTATACTTCTGAAGCACACTGAACATTAATCTACTGAAGCATTTGGCATACCCTAATTACCTTTGTATTATAGACTTTTAAAGGGTAGGCATTTTGTATGTTTTAAAACCAGTAAAGTGTCTGACACTGAATAAACTTGCCAAATTGAACTTAAGAAAATATATTTATGGACAATTTGAAAACATGTCACATAAACAAACAATAATAATCTCTTGCAAGAAGAAATTTATCCTTAAAACAAAAATAAGCATTTAAGTCTTTATTGTTTAAGTTCATAAGTACTCCTTTCTCAACTAAAAGTTCTAAATATGTAAGTTCTTACGTTAAAAAAAACTTCATGTGTTAAAACCATCCTTACAAGAGTAACATATCAAGTTAATCGACAAACTAAGTAACCAAACTGTTTGACAAAAACTGGGCAAGGAGCACTATCTTAGGAAACTCACTTAATATGCCTAATAAATGAATGAATGACAAGGCAGTTTATATAAAAGTTTACTAACATGTGAAGTCAGAATTTACTAGCTTATATAAGTTCACAAAATTGCTCGCTGCTACATTGGGAGACCACTTTTGTGTGTTCCAATTTTTGTAGAAGTTCAACATAATACAGTACATGGACAATCCTTTACAGATTAAAATGCAGTTTCACACATATTATCTGAATTAATAAAATGAATATTTTAACCAAATTGGTTAAAGCAGAATGCTGATGAACTATATTTTCATTTCCTCTTTCGACCAATATTTAAGGAGTCCTATTATGTGTTAGACAACTCTGTACTTACTATGTGCCTTGTTTATTTAAAATCTCTTAAAACTATCCCACACTGCCACTGCCCTTTTTTAACATGCCTCTGCCTAGTTTTTTTGCTGGCAGTCTCCTTGCGATTATTCTCCCATAGCTGCTCTATTCCATGGTATACAAAGCTGTTTACAAATGACTCTAATCTACCCCTCCCAGCTTCTTTCCTAAGTGTTCTCATTATTCCCTCTCCCTCCTGCTCCACAGTTTTCTAGCCATGCTGAACTTGGTCTTTGTATAGCTATTCCCTCCTCAGTTTCTGTCTGACAAACTCTTCATTCCTCATGTCCCACCTCTCATACTCTTCATCATGTTTAAAGTCTTTCTTGACTCCTTTAGACTCAAGTTTACAGAGTCACTCTTATTCTATTCTCTCCAACCATGCTTCATTCCCACTTCAGCCACAATAAGACATGCATATATCTGTTTCCTCTATTAGCTCCTTATGGGTGATGAATATGATTTATTTACATTTGAATCTCTCCGTCCTTGTTCAGTGCCAGGCACACAGTACAGGCTCAATAAATATTTACTGAATGAACAAAACAACTGGAGAACAAAGAAAGTGCCAAAATGTACACTGAATAGTAGAGAAGAGAAATAAATGTAAACTTCTTGGCCAAGGTAAGGTAGAACTTGAAGAATAAAATCAGATAGATGAAGAGATATGGGGAGAAGAAGTTTGAAATATAGCATGTCATAGTCAAGGTAACATTAAAAAAAAGAACAAAACCACACTTACCTTCAGTTACTCCCCCAATAGCAAGAGAAATAATAGCTAAAACGTTTTCACATGATGAATGATTTATCTACCAACAGAGGAGAAACAATTTAAGGGCAAGAGTTCAGACTAATTTGATAACAAAACATTAAACAAATGTGGAATAAAAATATTTCTTACAGCAGATAAAATGATTTTCTAAGATGAAAATATAAAAAGCAAGCAGTAATGTAGAGACTCAATAATTGCAGATGTAAAGTAATAAGTAGGTGACTCACTCAAAATACAATGGTCTCAGGAAAATGATTACATTAGTGTGATTAAAGCTAATCAGATACAAAAGTGCTGAGGCCATAACTCAGTCATTGGGACAGGGCAGGGGTGGGCCAGGGGAATTAACATACTGGCGCATCAATATGTCTGAGGGAGGATCTTAATACTATGTATAAGGGAGGTATCACAATAAACAGTATTTACTGAATTTTCATTCACTGTTGTTTTACACAACACTGAGAATGGCATTTTCCATGCTTAGAAATGAAACTGAAACTCAGAAAAGCAAAATAACTTGCCCAATGCCTCCCAATAAAAAACTGACTAAGTCCAGAGAAAGGCAAGGAATCATTTTTGATCTAGAATTATCTGAAAGCAAGGGACACTGCATTATGGGCATTAGAAGAGAATACAGCTTTCTGAGACCCAATCTCTGTTTGACAAAGAATGAATGGTTGAAAATTTTCCTTTCATTCAGGTGCCCTACTCAATTTATTTATTGGTAAATAAATTCAGACTTTTCATGTTCTCTATGGACAATAGAGAGGATTTATTTACAGATCCTTACTGATGAGGAGGATGCCAGAGGAAAGGGAATCCTAGCTCCGAAGCTCAACATTCTTGGATTATATCTTTCATGCCATTACAGGACTTGACTGTTTACACAGCAAACTGAGAGAGCCCAGCTTCAACCTCTAGTTCTTGCTCACTAAGACCTCATGTCAACTTTTCTTATCTCACTTGGAGACAACTCTCTTCATTTATTAAATCAAACCCTGAAATTGCACCTGTTCTATCAAAGTGCTTACAGTATCAGCAACTCAGTTTTCATAAGGCAGCAAGCTTACTCTAGGTGGGAAAAAACACATTTTAAAATATCCACTCTAAGAATAAAATCATTTTTTAAATAACATGGTTTATTAATTTGTAAGCAAAATTTCAACAATAGATACAGAAAAAGCATACTTACAATTTCTTCTTCTAGAACACCTCTGAAAGCTTGATCAAGGGTACATTTTTTTTCATTTTCACTATTAAAAAGAAAAGGCAACCTCATTTTTTAAACAGCCCAGGGTAAATATAAAGATTTGGACAAGTATTTTCCATAGATATCAATGCCTTACCTGCCAGGTAATTGGCTGAAGGTACTCAGTAATGGCTTGATATTTTTGTTGTTCAAGGCCTCTCTGGTAGACTTCTAGAAAAATGAACATGGCAAATAAATGGAAAATATTTTGCTTATTATTAACGGAAAAACATATCCTTTATTGACAGCATGTCTTCTAAGTAAAAAATGCTTATGCCTGGGAAAAATTACTTATCAGTCATTCTCCTGGGTAATCCTTATTCCAAATGTCACTTGATGCTACAGATCCTTATCACTTTATATACAGCAAAAGCTTCCTACATAGACTTTTTTTTGCAATTTTTGGCCGGGGCTGGGTTTGAACCCACCTCTGCCATATGGGGCTGGCGCCCTACTCCTTTGAGCTATAGGTGCCACCCTCCCTCACAGACTTTTCACCCTAGGTTTTTCCTCATATTATTTTTTAAAATATCACATTCAAGAGAGTATCCTGCATTTAAAAAAAAAATACCTCCAAATGGCTCCTTATTTACACATTTCGGTTTTGAAGTTTCATAACTCCTTCAAGGTCCTTGATGTTATCCCATTCAACCTCTCCAGCTTTATTTCCTATTACTCCCTAACACACACCTTGCACTAAAATCTAAACATTTTTCATCATTTTCTTTTTCTTTTTTAATTTTTTCTGAAGCAGAGTCTCACTCTTGCCCAGGCTATAGTGCCACGACATCAGCCTATCTCACAGCAACCTCAAACTCCTGGGTTCAGGTGAGCCTGCCTCAGCTTCCCAAGTAGCTGGGATACAGGAAGCCCCCACAAGGCCCAGCTATTTTCTGTTTTTAGTAAAGACAGGGTCTTGCTCTTGCTCAGGCTGGTCTTGAACTCTTAAGCTCCAGCCATCCTGCCACAGCCTCCCGGAGTACTAGGATTACAGGCATGAGCTGAAGTGCCTGGTCTTTCATCATTTTCTGTCAAGCTCATTCTAGTGTATTCACATATTCAGGGTGTTCTTCCCACCTGCTCATCCAGATTCTATCCATTCTCCCAGACCCATCTTAAGTCCTACCTTTCCTTGGTATTTTAATCACTGCAGTTCCTGACACATAAGGACCTGCTAATTGTCTTAAAGTAGTCATAAGTTAAAAGACAAAAACATTGCAAAGTCATTCATTCTGTGAAAATTCACATAATAAAGTTATCTTACTACCTTACAGGAATTAAATCTACAGTGGAAATGTCCATTCCTAGCTCTGCCCCTAAGAGGCTGAGTAACTTGAGGCCTATCCCTTTATCTCTTTGCTTTCATTTCTCTGGCCTTAAATGCCTTTTCCTTAAATAAGAGGGTGGCTGTAGATCCTTACTTCCAACAGCAGCAGTGCTGGCATCACCTGGGAACTTGTTAGAAACACAGAATCTATTCCAGGCATCCTCAAACTACGGCCGCGGGCCACATGCAGCCCGCCGAGGACATTTATCCAGCAAGCCGGGTGTTTCTGCCGCCGCTGCCTGTCCTGCTTAGCAGCCGACTCGTCCCGGGGCCCTCAGTCTGGCCCTCCAAAGATCTGAGGGACAGTGAACTGGCCCCCTGTTTAAAAAGCTTGAGGACCCCTGACTATTCTATAATATTGAACTAAAATCTGAATTCAACAAGATTTCCAGGTAATCCCACTGCATACTGAAGCTTGAGAAACACTGGGGGAAAAAAGGAATAACTGTTAGAACTATTCAAGATCCCATTAGCCTGTAGGGTTAATAGTTCTAACAATGGTTCCTTTTTTTTCTTTTTTTACAGTTTGTGGCCGGGGCCGGGTTTGAACCCGCCACCTCCAGTATATGGGGCTGGTGCCCTACTCCTTGAGCCACAGGTGCCGCCCTCTAACAGTTACTCTTAACAAAATTTCAATGTAGCAAAATGCATACGAGGAAAACGATTCTGATGACATAAGATACAATCCGTTAAAGAACAAACCACTGTATGAGAGAAAATACTTGCAAAGGAGAAAACTGAATACAAAGAATCAATTTCTTTCATAGAATTTTCATTCTAGCATCACTGTAACAACCTATCCAAATGGTTGATCATGCATGGGGAGGTTGGTGTAAATGCTAGACACGAAAGCAAACTACTCAGAACAGTGTTCTTCCAACATATGTCACTGTGATGGGTAACAAAAAGAATAATAGGTCCGAAGTCAGAAAAACCAGTGAAGTCAGTCACATAACTTTGGGGGCGTGTCCGTTTCAATCTCAAGCGCCAAGAAAAATAAAACGTAGTCTACTTTATAATGTTAAGTATTATAGTTACATGAGCTAACAATAAGCCGTTTCCCGCTTAAAAAGAACCTCCTTATCTATCTATTAGAGGAGAGATATTGAGGGGGAAGGGTGGCGAGCAGACGGCCGGAACAACCACCTGGCAGTTCACCAGGCGCCGGCAGGAACCAGATCTCCGGGCTGAAACCACTCCCATCCTCCCCCTTCCTCAGCTCCCCTGCCAGTTCCAGAGACACCTGCCCCGCTGAGCGAGCGGTGGATACTTTGTATATGAGCTGTCCACACCCAGCGCTAAGTCTCCCAGAACGCTTGGTCCAGGACCTATTGGCGGGTGGGCCGGGAGCAGGAGCTGCGGCCGACAAACCTCCGCCTCGCTTTGAACCTCAGGGCAAAATCTGAATAATTTCAGGGAGAAGAAGGCAAAGGATAGCGCCAGGCCAGAGCCCCAGCCTCCCGCCTGCAGCTCACCGTAAACCGCGTCCGCGCTTCGGGCAAACTGAAGAGCGGCGGCGTCGGAGACATCTTCTCGGTTGCGCGTGCCCGTCACTGAGCAGCGGCGCCGGCTGATGACGTCAAACGGGAGCATTGAGATTGCCGGCTCCGCGCGGGGCTAGAGAGGCCTGTGAGGGCAGGGGCTGGTGAGACCGCGAATGGGAACTTTGGTATTGGCCGAGTTTGGGCGGGTGTTGGGAATCCGCGTCAGCCAAAGAATACACAGTCGAGGTTCCTGGGTAACACTTGGGGTAAGAGGACTTGGTCCTCGCCCTGAGCTTCGCGGCAGGGAAAGGCCGAACGCTCACCTGCGCCCCGGAGGTTTTCCCGGTTTGGGGAAAGCGGGTGAATGGCGGCTGATTACGGCTCAAACCGCCGTTCAAGAAGGTAACCGCTGCCTGGAATCCAAGACAGGTGGAAAAGTGTTGGCGGTAGCAGTGGCGTGGCACGTCGGCTCGCGCGGTCTTCTCCAAAGCTTCGGAGTTGTGGCCCGTTGTGGATTTGAGTATAAACCCTGGATCACGGTCCCAGTAGCTCATGAGCTCTGTTCCGTCTTCTCTGAAGTAGAAATACCTATTTCACAGAGCTGTTAAAAAGCTCGCTTGAAATAATGCCTAGAAGTGTAGATTGTAAAGCAATATAGATGGCGTTTATTATTCGTTTCTTTACCCTTGGAATCAATTAAATTTGCTGGCACGTATTGGTCTCTACTGCAAGAGGAAGACATAGGAGGAATGCAGTACTCGGGTCTGATTGGAAAACAGGTGGTGCTGAGTCCAGGGTAAAGGCATTCCTTGCAAAACTATGTTTCTATAGCCATTTCTTTTCCTGGGAGTGGCTTGGCCAGTAATGAGAAGCCGAAAGGCAAAGTGACCACCATAACTCAGCTGGAGTTAATTGTAGAGAAAAAGCATTTACCCGGACTTGGGGAACTTTTTTTTTTTTTTGAGACAGAGCCTCAAGCTGTCCCCCTCAGTAGAGGGCTGTGGCATCACAGCTCACAGCAACCTCCAACTCCTGGGCTCTAGCGAGTCTCCTGCCTCCGCCTTCCAAGTAGCTGGGACCACAGGTGCCCGCCACAACGCCCGGCTCTTTTTTTGTTGCAGCCGTTATTGTTGGGCCGGGGCTGGATTCGAACCTGCCACCTTAGGTGTATGTGGCTGGCGCCTCAGCCACTTGAGCCGTAGGTGTCGAGCCCAGACTTGGAGAACTTCCTACCAGTTCTTACTCCCTCACACGTGTTCTTTGTTCTCTTAGACATCCAATGAAAATACAGGAACTTAAGGAAAAGAAACCTGCAGAGTCTTGCCTCTAAGTGGGAATTGTGCAATGAAGACTACCTAGAGCATTTCAGTCTTTATTAGAATCAACAGACTCATTCACATTTGATTGTATAATTAAATTCACAGATTGGCAAAATCATTTAATTCAGAAATAGACTTTGTTAATCTGATAACTGATGAAACAGGATTAGCATATTACAGAGGATTATTAACGATCTGGAACACAACTAGAAGTAAATACAATTACTTTTTTTAATTAAGTGGAAGACTGGGGGAGTTTAATGACTCATCCATTAAAGCCCAATGGTTTAGAATTGTATCTCTTCAGCAAACATTTGTTGGGCATTTTGTACACAATGGACAGTATTGGTCGAGTGAAAAATGTATGAAAATGATTAAGTGAGCAAAATAATAGAGCTTAATGCTGTCTTGAGCTCAGTGTGGTTGATATTAAAGCAGTGGTTCTCAACCTTCCTAATGCCCTGAGCCTTTAATACAGTTGAGAACTGCTGCATTAAAGGAACGTGACTACAGTATAAACTTTCTATTATGATTGGTTTATAATAGATAATAGCTGTAGGGCAGAGAGATTGCTACCATCTGAGGCAGGTAACCAGGCAGAAGTTAGAATAGGAGCTGAACCTTGAAGGATTTCCATAGCTATAGGTAGGAATGTGAAGCAGTAAATAAGAGAGACATTCCAAATAGAATGACCTGAGCAGAGATATGGAAGGGAGAAAACGGTGAATGGCAACTGTTTACTCTAACTTGGGTTCTGGACAGCAATAAGGCTGAAAAGTCAAGTTGAAATCATATTTAATGTTTGAGTTCAAAGAATGTTGCAGATATAAAAATGGCTTTTACAGTTCGTATCGAGTTGTAGCTGGCAGTATATTGGGGGGCGGGGGGAGGGAAATGCACTATTTTGCTGCCAAAATGAATGAAGGAACACCAGATAGGAAAAAAAGCAGCCATCTTCCGGAGTGAAAAGGACTTAGTATTTAATAGGCACTATCTCAAGTAGGGATGATGAAAATGTTCTGGAGATAGTGGTGATGGTTGCTCAACAATGTGAGAAACAATTCCGCTGAGTTGGAAACTTTACTAAATTTTACGTCTATGTTACCACAAGAAAAAAATTTTATAAGACCTTTTTAAAAAAGCAATCTGAAGTTGGATAGGTTTTTTTTTTTTTTTTTGAGACAGAGCCTCAAGCTGTTGCCCTGGGTAGAATGTTGTGGCATCACAGCTCACAGCAACCTCCAACTCCTGGGCTCAAGCCATTCTTCTGCCTCTGCCTCCCAAGTAGATGGGACTTCAGGTGCCCACCACAACACCCGGCTGTTTTTTCATTGCATCTGTTGTTTGGCGACCCCGGGCTGGATTCGAACCCACCAACTCAGGTATATGTGGCTGGTGCCTTAGTTGCTTGAGCCACAGGCACCGAGCCAGAAGCTGACTAGCTTAAAAAGGGCAAAGACCAGGCGATGCTTGTGGCTCAAAGGAGTAGGGCGCTGGCCCCATATGTTGGAGGTGGTGGGTTCAGACCCAGCACCAGCCAAAAAAAAAAAGGGGGGGGGCAAAGATATCACAGACATCAGTATGATCTTGGACCCACAAAGGTATAGTTATTAAGTAAGGAGGTATTTTTTTTTTTAAAGATGACAATTAAAAAAAATCACTGTAGTAAAATATGTTAGTATTTAGATTCTATTAATAATGCAGTATAATTCACAGTGTACTTAGTGTGCACTATTGGATATTCTAAATATTTTGTGATGGGTAATATGCCTGTTATGCCCATTACACACTTAGAGAAGCATACGCAAAGGGAGATCTTGATAGACTGATAGACGTAATTAGGTCAGGCATATGACTCATGCTTGTAATCCTAGCACTCTGGGAGGCCTAGGCAAGAAGATTGCTGGAAGTCAGGAGTTTGAGACCAGCCTGAGCAAGAGCAAGACCTCGTTGCAACAAAAAATAGAAAAATTAGCTAGATGTGGTATGTGCTGGTAGTCCCATCTACTCAGGAAGCTGAGACAGGAGGGTCACTTGAGCCCAAGAATTAGAGGTTTCAATGAGCTATAAAACTTGGAACTTGGGGCAGTGCCTGTGGCTCAAAGGAGTAGGGTGCCAGCCCCATATGCCGGAGGTGATGGGTTCAAACCCAGCCCCGGCCAAAAACTGCAAAAAAAACCCAAAAAACTTGGAACTTGAACTCTGGTTAGTCTCAGTCTCAAAAGAAAAAATAATCAACAGAAGTGAGACTACTCATTGTTCAAGTTCCAAGTTTTGTGTACTTTACATTATGTTATACTGTCTAATGTGCAAGTTTTATTGTATACCTCCTATGAGTCAAATGCTATTACTTCTACTTTCAACAATACTGTACTTACATATTAATAAGGAAATGACTTCATTGGTCCTACGTCACATAGCTAGAGAAAACTAAGGTTGGGATTGAGCCAAGCACTAATCCCAAAGCGTTATTTTTCTCAAGTCCTTAGAGACTAGGTCTCTGTCAACCAGACTGGAGTGCACTGGCTTGATCATAGCTTACTATAGCCTATTCTGTCTCAGCCTCTCAGATAGCCAGGACTATAGGTGTGTGTCACCATGCCTGGATAATTTATTTCTTTAGAGATAGGGTCTCACTATGTTGCCCAGGATGGTCTCAAATTCCAAGACTCCAGTAATCTTCCCACCTTAGCCTCACAAATAGCTGGGACTACAGGCATAAGCCATTGTACTAGCCATATTTTTCTCAAGTCTTAACTGTTGAATCTTTACCAAGTTATAGGTCTCATAAATTACTTCCTTACAGTTGGATAAGGGTGAGGACCTCATTGTAATTCATGACAAAACGTAAGGATTTTGAAAAAGTATGTTATAATATTCAGAGGGTAGACATCCAGTAACATGTAACCTTTTTAGTTATATTTATTTATTTTTTTGAGACAGAGCCTCATTAAGTTGCCCTTGGTAGAGTGCTGTGGCATCACAGCTCACAGCAACCTCCAACTCTTGGGCTTAAGCAATTCTCTTTTTTTTTTTTTTT